CTTCCAGTGTTCTTCCACACAGGTTTCTTCAGGGATGTTGCTCAATATCTCCCATTTTATATTGATGGCTGCCGTGAAAATGTCCTTTGTAGTTTCGTCCTTCAGTTTCTTTTCTGGGTGTTGTACTTGAACTGCGGTCTATCACCAGCTTCCTTGAAGGTTTTCGACTTGATTTCCAAGGTATATTCTTAGTACTAGATAGTGGTCTGAACCTACATCTGCTTCTCTTCTTGACCTTGTGTCAAGTAGGCTGGCTGCGTCTCCACTTTCTTGAGATTGAGATAAAGTCGATCTGATTTTTAGTGTGGTGTGTCCTAGTGTCTGGTGAAATCCATGTCGCTGACTTGTGGATATCCTTGTGCTTGAACACACTGCCTCCAGTCACCAAATCGTTGAATGCACAGAATTCTGCAAACAATTTTCCATTCTTGTTCATCACCCCACCGAGCCCTTCTCGACCCATGGTTAGTTCTCTTCCTGTGTTGTCCCCTCCCAGTTTGGCATTCATGTCGCCCATTAGAATTTTGATATCACCAACTGACGTCTTGTCCAGTGTTGATTGAAGTTGTCTGTAGAATTCCTCCTTTTTCTCTTGCTCTGCATTATTTGTAGGTGCATAGCGTAGCATTGTATGATTGTGACCTTCCTTCCTTTTGAGTTGAATCTTGCTGTCATGATCCTGGAGGAGATTGGTTCCCACTGCATGAGAGTGAGCCTTCGATGCTCTTGAGGACATCATGATAGCCACTACAATACACAGTGTGCTCGTGTTTGTCGTTTGGGTGGCAATATTGGAGTAGATTATTGATTCTCCAGTTGACAGTTTGGAGAGTCCACTCCCATTCCATCTGCTTTCGCAAATCCCAAGCACTTCGATGTTATACCTTCTCATCTCCTTTGCAATCTGGGCTGCCTTGCTGGGTTCAAACATGGTGCGGACATTCCATTTCCCCACGTTTACTTTCGCTTTCATCGAGAGAAGAGAAGACACATCGGCCAATTGGCTTCCCTGAGGCTTTCACCAAGCGGCGTCATTTCGTCTCTCCGGTCCCAGCGAGGAATAAATTTTCTATTTTTTGTTTGTTCTTTGGAGTTTCTTTAGCGGTTAGATTTGTTTTATGGGGTAGGGTTGCTAACCGTATGCCCAGCCTTCCCTGTATACCCGGGCTTAGGACCGGCTAGTAACTAGTGAACTAGTTAACCAGGCGAGGTTATAAGCCAGGACTATATAGGATCAATGGAGGATTGCCACTCTTTCTGGAGTACCTGTGTGGACTGCGATCACACGCTCACACGGGCACGTGTATATCTGTCTTACTGGTCGTAGAAAAAAAAACGGCGGTAAAGATAGTTGGTAACCTACACCCGAAGGATAGTAAGTCATTGGACTTCTACAACGTCATCCGAATCGATTGAAGCAAAAAAGTTCATTCTAGCTGGCTCTGACCACAATGAAGAGCGAAAACAACTTAAGCGTAAAATGACCAAGAATCTTCGTGATGATCTCGAGTAGTGCTGGGCAGTGGAAGCGAAAGAGGGAGAAAGCATCAGCGTTAGGTAACACCCTCAACTATTTAAGCTTATTAAGGAGACCGAAAAAAGATGCTTAGTAAAACCATGACGGAAAAGGATGGGACACTGATAACTTCTCAGAACAGGCGGCTCCAACGCTGGACGGAACACTCTGAAATACAGTTCAATCGGCTAACTGTAACGCTTCAGTTGTGTAGCATCTAACCCGAACATGAATAGAATGTTTATGCCAATCCTTCAACTGTTCTCGCGGTTAAGAAGGTTGTTTTGAATTTGCAATGGCGCAAAGCAGCAGCATCTGCCAGTTTGCCACTCAAATATTTAAGGATGGGGCTGGCAAATTACTGACGAGTAACGGAGGTACTTTGTAGGGTATGGGAATCAGGGGGTAGTGCCGTCAGATTAGTCTCATTGATCATTCCAGTGCATAAGAACCAGGCAGGTTTCAGACCTGGGTGAGGTTGCAGGTCCTGGAATACAGGTCTACTTACCTGCGGCAAATATTCGCTACTTTTCTTGACCTGAAGGCATCATCTGACTTTGTCGACCGTGATGTTTTGTGTCATTATTTGTCTGCGAAAGAAGTGCCCAGCAAGTTTGTGGTGCTAATTAAAATCCTCTACTCAACCTCACGCAGAGCCGTGTAAGGGCTTATGGAGAGTTGCCTTCTGAATTGACGACAACCAGTGGTGTCCACCAGCGGTGCCATGTGTCACCGTTCCTGTTTAATTACTTTTCAGATGTATTTATGAACATAACCTTAGGTACATGTGACTTCACAGGTATTGACCTACTCTCTTGACAGCACCTGGTCGACTTGGAGTATACAGACGATATTGTCCCGCTAGGTAAAGACACTGATGAAATGCGAGGTCTTATAAACAAGTTGAGCGGAAATCTTAGTATGTTTGGGATGCGTTTCACACCTGTCAAATACAAGACGCTGCTCCAGGACTGGTCTGAAAATACTCATTTTAAGCATATGGAGTGAAATGATTGAGTCTGTCGACCATTTCACTTACTTGGAGAGTTGCATCAGCCCGAACGAACTTGTCACTGACGAAATCTCAGCTCGGATACCGAAGCCCTGTTTAGCATTTGCCAATTGGCGTCATTAACACCAACTGGTAAGAAATCTGACTACCTATTAAGGTAGGAATATACTTCACTGCAGTTCGCTCTCTCGTTATAAGGCTATGAAACATGGTCGTTGAAAGTGTCAGGTGTGAACAGATCATAATTTTTCGAACACAGGTGTCTCCGTAACATCGCTGGCGTGTAGTGGAATCACTGTGTGAGAAATGTTGAGGCGAGGCGGCTAGCATTAGGCAAGGAAGGCAAGTCAGTCGATGAGGTTGTGAACTGACTTAGGCCTATGGTGCACATCCCAAGCCACCGGCTTCCTTGACATGCAGTGCTAGAGGAATTTGGGTTAGGTAGGAAGAAAACTTAGGGTGTCCAGACTAAGTGGTAGCACCAGGGCACGAAATCTGACTGTTGATCTGAGCCATGTAGGGAGGTACAGATTGCCTGTTTGGAGTTTCTAGTACGACAGAAGTCATTGTTTAAGAACTCTTAGAGACATGTCTGAAAGTCGGTTACAGTGGTGCATTTGTATTCACTCTTTCTTTGAAGTCTTCTAAAACTTGAATGTTTTGACTTGCCTTAATTTTTATATTCCTTCTCTTCCCATACATATTTGTTTACTTTGACATCATTCCTATCCATTTGCTCTTTATATACTACTGTAAGGTGTTGTAAGTTGATCCGATGCACTTGTATGCGAGGTTCTAAGTTGATTTTGTCCGTCTGTCTATAACAGTTTAATAAACTGAATTAATTCTTTCATAATAACTAAAAACATTGTCGGAATTTATAAAATTTCTGTGTAACTTCAGTGATAAGCTTGTTCAACATCAGTGATTAAACAGCGTTGTACGGGTTCGCTTTCATTCACGTTTGTCACTTGAAATGGTTAAACCGGTTACAATTCTCGGTATAAAATTGATACCATTACCACTGGGTCCTCAAACGATGTAATCTGTTGTGAATGAGTTATTTAGAAGGCTTGGGATTGTCACACAAAGATGTGACACTAACCGTTGGTTTGAGCCATGTAAGAATGTGTAGACTGTCTGGTTGAAGTCCTCAAGGCAGCATACATAGTCACCGATTGCCTCGTCTCACAATGTTGTCCGAAGTAGGTCCATGCTGGAAAAAGGCCAGAGGTGGCTAGACTAAAACATGGTATCAATGTATGAAGTCTCTAACTGTTGGTTTAAGCCATGTGGGACGGTGTAGACTAGCCGGTTGGTGTCCGCAGGACAAAAGAAACCAGTGGTTGGAGACTACGTGATATGGCTCAGAACCGATGTCACTGGCGCAGATGTGTACAGACATTATCCTCATCTCAACGCTATACCGAATCTCACTTTTTTCTTATCCTTCCTTTCTCTCTTTTCGTACTCTATATTTCTTTTGACTGAGTTTTCTTTTCTTCATCTTGCACTTTGCTGCCTTTTTACTTGATGCACTGATATGAGGTGTAGCAACTCGGACCGTTATGCAGTAATGTCTGGTCCTATGTTGATATTGATGATGATGATGATCTAGGCGGTAGGAACCAATGTTTGAAGACATGATTGAAAGTCGGTCGCATTAGCACTGATGTATTCCCTCTTTGTGATGTCTTCTAACCTGGATTTTCGCATTTATTTTCCGTGCCCATACCTTTTTCTACTTTGATATCACTTTTTCTACCTGCTTGTTCTTTGAATGCTACTGTGAAGTGTGCTACATGAATCAGTGTGCGAGGTTTTATGTTGATTTTGTCGGGTGTCTGTCTGTATGAGTTAGTGATACTCCCTAGTTGTGCAAACATCAGACACATGATCCACTTGTTGAAAACGAAGTGTCTAAACCAATGAACCACTTTACTAAGGTTTTAAATACGATAGTGTTTAGTAGTGTAACTTAATAGCCATATATCGGTTCGCATTCTAGACTAGGAGTCACACATCGCATAACAGCGGTAATGCCTGGATATCACCTAGACATCGGCAGTTTGCCAGTAATGAAGTCAGAATTAACTATCCAGAACTTCATGATATTGTATGCATATTTCTGAAGCAAAGAATAAAATTTATTTCTTATACCTGGTCATATCTACCTGGTGCTTATTCTCATTCGAAGCGTCGCTTAGATGAAATATGTGTCAGTACAGTGCATAGGTCAAAAGTGGAAATACAAAAAGCTAGATCTCGTATTACTTGAGAAACAGATCTGCAGCTACGTTTGCTAATCGAGTCTTTTTCTTGAACTTCTGTTGGCGTAGTTTTCTGTTGTGCATAGTGAACTTATGCTTTAACGAAGTAGATTCTCAGTTATACATGATCACTTTGAATAACAAACAAATAAGGTCTTAATGCCTTTCCTATAGAAGTTAATCAAGAAGTAATTATTTTTAGGGTGCTCCGTTGTCTAGTGGTGCCAAATGTAGGAAGCGAAAAGTTGAACGGAACACTTCAGAGGAAAATGCAAGATGCTCTAAGACTGTCAGGACGGTTTCTGCTAATGAAGAAGTTCCAAAAACCCTTATTAACGAGGTTTCCACTACGGAATCCAAGGTTGCAGCAAATTACATTGAAAATCCTGTTCTTACAGAAATACAAAGCATTTTGGAGTTTCGCAACAGGTGCACAGTGAAAATACATGGACTTCCACCGAAGACAACTATTTCTGAATTGGAATCATTAGTACCAGAAGCCAAGGCCTATCGTTTACCATGGATAAGTCGTCTTCACAGATGTCATGGGTTTGCTTTTATCGAGTTTGAGTCGGAAGAAGAAGCTATGATGCACAAGGAACGACTTGACAGACAGTTTTATGGAGACAGAGCTTTAAATGCCAGTGTTGGGAAATTTATTTCAGAATGCGTTGGTAAGATTGATAGCTGACGTTATATACTTTTAGATGATTATGAATGCACGGTACTTGTTCTACATGGTTTAAAGTATAACGTTAAAAGGGGTGAAATAGCAAGAAGATTTCCTGCTTCTATAGATATTAGGATACATTTAACAAATGATACACACAAACCGGGTGTGGCCTATTTAACATTCGCATCAGAGGAAGATGCTTTGAATGCTCTAAAGTCTCGACAAGGGTGTTTTTTGAGAGGCAGAAAAACATCAGTTCATTTTCGAGTAAAACCGAAAAAGACGAGGTAAGTGCATGATGTTATTTATTCTACTGAATGTTTTTTGAAAGCAAGAATTGCCTGATAGTTCGGGGTTTGGGAAAAAAGGTATCCGAAAGTGATCTGTTGGCGGTATTTCCTCAAGCCTTAACAGTGAATATCAATCGGTATCGAGGTGAAGCTCGACTTATCTATGACCTGGAGGAAGATTGTTTATTAGATCGGAAGCAAGCCAAAAACATTCTAATTGGCGGTCGTAAAGTTGACGTTATGGCAGTTTCTGTGAGTAAAAAAGACAGTACCCGTCCAGTACTTGGTGTTGCAAAAAGTGTAGATTCATATTCGGACAAGAAGGCGTCATCCGGTATAGTAATAGACAAATGTACATTGGCCTTATCTGAGGGAAAGATCCGCGAATTATTTCCAAATGCGGTTGACTACCGTACATTTCCACCGGGGACTAGTCAAAGTGGGTGAGTTTTTTGTCATATTTTTGATGTATTTAATTTCTGCTAAATTTTACGGGTTCTGTTTTCTCTAATGTGATGTCAAATTTGGTCCTTTTCGTACCCGTTATTGCAAAGCAGGGGAAACTTACTTAAAACTAGTTGATTCACAACCTTTATCATTTACATAAGGTTTACTGCTTTTTGCTTGTACTTTAAGCTGGCTTTGCTTTCTAGGAAGATCTTTGTCGTGATTAGGCTACATGAATTTCGGTATAATTTATACTATTTTAAAAGCTTTACAATTACTAACACTTCTACAAGACGTTTTGTCACAATTGTAAGCCCATTCTGAAAGCATGAGTAAATTATTGACATTAAGTTTAGTGTTATAAGTTGACTCAATTGTCGACTGCCGGTCGATATGGTTTTATATCCTAGTGGTTGATATATCCTGCTATGTGTTTCATTTCTCTCAGCTGGGTTGTTTAATCATGAAGCTTTCATTATCTTTCTGGATAGCATCAGCAATAACTTCAATATGAAGTGAGCCATCAGTATTTGTCCACGAGTGATTCAATAACCTGATGCAAGAAAGTAGTTTGTGATTAGTTGTTTCCTTTAATTGTCGTGTCATTGACCGCATAGATTTTCCTGTTGCTTGTCCCTCTGCTTGACCTCTAACCTTGTAGTTGTTTAGCACTTTTCTTATTAGTTGGTAGATTGGGTCTATGTCTATACATCTATTGATTGCTGACTGGCCTGAATGATAAGCTTCTAGGAATTCTCTGATATTCTTTGTGTTTCCTCTACATTGTCAAAATTGAATTCATGTCCTTAATTATCCACGTGCATTGAAATGAGTGATGAAATGTCGTGACGTTTAATAGTCAATTGGTGTTCATGTAGACGAAGGCGAAGAGGGCGACCACTTTGTCCAATGTAGTGTTGACCACAATTTGTAAATGATGTTCGATTTGTCTTCTTTGGTTGTTGTATCCTTTGGCCTGCATAATAGTGTTTGAAAGGATTTTGTTGGTTTATGAGTGGCCATACGAATGCCAAGTGGTCTCAGTAATCTTGTCGTGATTTCTGATATATTCTTTATGTACGGTAGGATGGTGTGTTTGTTGATTTCTGTGTATGACTTTATAGTTGATGATGTATGGGATAGGCATCTTCTGATAAAGTTTCGTGAGTAGCCATTCTTCTTTAGGGTGGTTATCAAGTAATTTTCTTCGTTTCTCTGTGAAGTTGTTATGTTGTAGTGTGTTCTCACTCTTTTGAATAGAGTCTGCATGCAACTAATTTCGTGCTTTGTTGAGTTGTTTCAACTGTAGTTGAGGATTTGATCAGTATGTGTTGGTTACCTATACACTTGGGTTTCCAGTTTTCCGGTATTTGTCCTACTGACTAGAACATCCAGGAATGGAATTTGGTTGTTCGATTCATTCTCTAATGTTTTGTGACCCCCTACATTACGTAAAAATTTCTGAATTTCTTTACTTGACCTTGCTTTTAAATCAAGTTCTCAGAGTGAGTATGTTAGTTATCTTTCTTATGTTTTGATAAAACCGTCCTTGTATTTCAAGCATGGTAAGGTGAATCTTAAGCATGAAAGTTTATTAGCTAACCAACTGACATATTGGCTTGCATTATGGCTTTAACTAAATTCTGCCCTGTTATTTTGTTTATCTTATTTCTAAGCGTGGCGTATGTTGAATTCGCCAATTTATCACATGCCAAACGAGCAGTCAAGGCATTAAATGGCAAATCGATGCGAGTAAGAATTGCCAATCAGAAGAGAATGAGACTGCTTGGTCTTTTGGAGAAATCCACTCCAGCCACAAAAAACGAAAAAACTGAATCCCATTCTTCTACTAAAGCTCACCGTGACAACTACAATGATTCACAAGGTGTTAATAATTGTGATATAAAAAGGCATCAAAAGTCTAAAAAGAACAAACGTAAACCTATGAAACCAAAGCCTCATTTCCTAGAGAAACCTGTAATTACATGAATAAATACATCTCTTTTCTAAAAATTGTCATCTTCTAAAAATTTTGGATTACGGAAACTTGTGCTGGTGCAAATTTCACACTAAAAGTATGTGTTTCAGCTTTTGTGATAAAAGTTGTGATGAGGTGAAAGTTTCTTGTTATAGAATTCCATATACCCTTGTTCCGCATAGAAAAATTAGTTCTGTAAAATCAATAAATCGAATTGATTAACTGGAAGAGTTTCCTTGATATGTTCAGTCAGTGAAATCCTTCAAACCATGCGAAAGACATGGCAAACTGAACAAAATACATAAATTTACCGTCGAAGCAAAATGATTAGAAACGTACATTCTTCACCTGAATGGATTTCATCACATTGTGACCGTGTAGCATCTCCAAAACTGACTCAGAAACAATATAATTCGAATTATCAGCGAACAGATAAATCCGGAACCCATATGCCACGATTAATGAAACCCTTATCTTAATGTACCGTACATGCCACATTTTCTACTTGCTTAGTTTGCATGATATCGCGTTTCTTTAAAAATCTTGTGCTTACTGAGTTATGTATGTACACGTTGCCTCCGAATATTTCCGAAGGCAAGCAGAAAGAAAAGTAAAAACACGCAAACACCAAACTATCCTATACCTTCATGTTGGTCAATTACGGCTAACAGACAGCTTTCTACAATAGCTATATTTCCATAAGTCCATGCATTCACCTATTCATATATAATACCCTCATATAGACTATGATCCTTACCGTAAAAGAGAATGCTTCAAAACCCCAGCATATGCCTCAAACAACAAAAAAAATAACCCTTGCATAAGCGTCCATCCCTTGAAACGTCCATCTAATACGTGCTGTTAACCACACCCTGGAGGTCGAGATGATCGTTTGTCTCTGTCTAAACTGGGTAGTGCAAGATTGAGTATTCCACTGTTGTTGCACAGACGGTGGTGTCCATTGACTGAGTATCACTGTTTTGATTTGATGAGATTTGTTTTGTTTTGTTTTGTTTGTGAGTGAGTGAGTGAGTGAGTGAGTGATATGTGCGTTGTTGCGAGTATGTTTTGTGTCTGTGTGAGTGATTGTGTGTTGTTGTTTGCTTATTGTATGTGATAGAGTATGGAGTGAGTTAGTGTGGGCTGTAGGATTGATGGTTTTTTCACAGTGTGGGATGTGTGTTGCTGGTGTTAGTAGATATTTGATGATGTGGTATTTTGCGGTGTGTGGTGTGGTGTGGTGTGGTGTGGTGTGTGTTGGCGATGATGATGAATGTCGGTGTTGTTTGTGCCTTGGAGTAATTTTGGTGGTATGGAGTGATAGATAGAGATGTTGGTGGTGACGTATGAGTAGATTGTGATTGTGTATGTTATGGATCTAGAATTTGGTTGAGTGGGATAGTTTGTTGTGATGTTTGTCCACCCAGACGTCCATAGTGTCAGCGATTGATCTATGGTATTCGCGTATGGACTATAGTGATTGGCGTCGAAGTAAATGGTTTGACACCGAAGAAGACAGTGAGTGAGTGAGTGTGTGTGTTTGTGTGTAGGGGTGTGTAGTTTTTGTTGGATGTATTTTGTCATTGTGTGGTGATGTCCATGATCTAATGCCCACAATGACTGTTTTGTGGGATTCGCTGATGGACTAGATGAATGAGATAGATGACCGTTGAAGCGACTGGCGTTTCGCATTGTGGATACGGTACATATGGTAATTTTGGTATAGTGTAGTGTGTGTGTGTGTGTGTTGTTTTTGGTTTTGGTTTTGGATTGTAGTTGTGTGCGTGTATGTGTGGGTGTAGTGATGATGTGCGTCGAAGTGTTTGTAGGTAGGTGACTTTTGTTGGGAGTTGATGAGGTTGCCTATTGTGTGTTTAATAGCGCTTTGTCTTGTGTGAGGATATGTAGGGTTATGCATGTGGTGTAAGGGGGGTACGTGTTGGAGATGTGAACGAACCATTCAGTGGATATACGCGAATATGTGTGTATATGTTGAGAGTATTGGTTTTGTGTGTGTGTGTGTGTGTGTGTGTGATGAGTTTTGTGGAGTAGAGATGGATGTAGAGTTGTAACTGTTGTTTCTGGTTGGTAGTGAGCACACCCCGGAGGTCGAGATGATCGTTTGTCTCTGTCTAAACTGGGTAGTGCAAGATTGAGTATTCCACTGTTGTTGCACAGACGGTGGTGTCCATTGACTGAGTATCACTGTTTTGATTTGATGAGATTTGTTTTGTTTTGTTTTGTTTGTGAGTGAGTGAGTGAGTGAGTGAGTGAGTGAGTGAGTGAGTGAGTGATATGTGCGTTGTTGCGAGTATGTTTTGTGTCTGTGTGAGTGATTGTGTGTTGTTGTTTGCTTATTGTATGTGATAGAGTATGGAGTGAGTTAGTGTGGGCTGTAGGATTGATGGTTTTTTCACAGTGTGGGATGTGTGTTGCTGGTGTTAGTAGATATTTGATGATGTGGTATTTTGCGGTGTGTGGTGTGGTGTGGTGTGGTGTGTGTTGGCGATGATGATGAATGTCGGTGTTGTTTGTGCCTTGGAGTAATTTTGGTGGTATGGAGTGATAGATAGAGATGTTGGTGGTGACGTATGAGTAGATTGTGATTGTGTATGTTATGGATCTAGAATTTGGTTGAGTGGGATAGTTTGTTGTGATGTTTGTCCATCCAGACGTCCATAGTGTCAGCGATTGATCTATGGTATTCGCGTATGGACTATAGTGATTGGCGTCGAAGTAAATGGTTTGACACCGAAGAAGACAGTGAGTGAGTGAGTTTGTGTGTAGGGGTGTGTAGTTTTTGTTGGATGTATTTTGTCATTGTGTGGTGATGTCCATGATCTAATGCCCACAATGACTGTTTTGTGGGATTCGCTGATGGACTAGATGAATGAGATAGATGACCGTTGAAGCGACTGGCGTTTCGCATTGTGGATACGGTACATATGGTAATTTTGGTATAGTGTAGTGTGTGTGTGTGTGTGTGTGTTGTTTTTGGTTTTGGTTTTGGATTGTAGTTGTGTGCGTGTATATGTGGGTGTAGTGATGATGTGCGTCGAAGTGTTTGTAGGTAGGTGACTTTTGTTGGGAGTTGATGAGGTTGCCTATTGTGTGTTTAATAGCGCTTTGTCTTGTGTGAGGATATGCAGGGTTATGCATGTGGTGTAAGGGGGGTACGTGTTGGAGATGTGAACGAACCATTCAGTGGATATACGCGAATATGTGTGTATATGTTGAGAGTATTGGTTTTGTGTGTGTGTGTGTGTGTGTGTGTGTGATGAGTTTTGTGGAGTAGAGATGGATGTAGAGTTGTAACTGTTGTTTCTGGTTGGTAGTGAGCACACCCCGGAGGTCGAGATGATCGTTTGTCTCTGTCTAAACTGGGTAGTGCAAGATTGAGTATTCCACTGTTGTTGCACAGACGGTGGTGTCCATTGACTGAGTATCACTGTTTTGATTTGATGAGATTTGTTTTGTTTTGTTTTGTTTGTGAGTGAGTGAGTGAGTGAGTGAGTGATATGTGCGTTGTTGCGAGTATGTTTTGTGTCTGTGTGAGTGATTGTGTGTTGTTGTTTGCTTATTGTATGTGATAGAGTATGGAGTGAGTTAGTGTGGGCTGTAGGATTGATGGTTTTTTCACAGTGTGGGATGTGTGTTGCTGGTGTTAGTAGATATTTGATGATGTGGTGTGGTGTGTGTTGGCGATGATGATGAATGTCGGTGTTGTTTGTGCCTTGGAGTAATTTTGGTGGTATGGAGTGATAGATAGAGATGTTGGTGGTGACGTATGAGTAGATTGTGATTGTGTATGTTATGGATCTAGAATTTGGTTGAGTGGGATAGTTTGTTGTGATGTTTGTCCATCCAGACGTCCATAGTGTCAGCGATTGATCTATGGTATTCGCGTATGGACTATAGTGATTGGCGTCGAAGTAAATGGTTTGACACCGAAGAAGACAGTGAGTGAGTGAGTGTGTGTGTTTGTGTGTAGGGGTGTGTAGTTTTTGTTGGATGTATTTTGTCATTGTGTGGTGATGTCCATGATCTAATGCCCACAATGACTGTTTTGTGGGATTCGCTGATGGACTAGATGAATGAGATAGATGACCGTTGAAGCGACTGGCGTTTCGCATTGTGGATACGGTACATATGGTAATTTTGGTATAGTGTAGTGTGTGTGTGTGTGTGTGTTGTTTTTGGTTTTGGTTTTGGATTGTAGTTGTGTGCGTGTATGTGTGGGTGTAGTGATGATGTGCGTCGAAGTGTTTGTAGGTAGGTGACTTTTGTTGGGAGTTGATGAGGTTGCCTATTGTGTGTTTAATAGCGCTTTGTCTTGTGTGAGGATATGCAGGGTTATGCATGTGGTGTAAGGGGGGTACGTGTTGGAGATGTGAACGAACCATTCAGTGGATATACGCGAATATGTGTGTATATGTTGAGAGTATTGGTTTTGTGTGTGTGTGTGTGTGTGTGTGATGAGTTTTGTGGAGTAGAGATGGATGTAGAGTTGTAACTGTTGTTTCTGGTTGGTAGTGAGCACACCCCGGAGGTCGAGATGATCGTTTGTCTCTGTCTAAACTGGGTAGTGCAAGATTGAGTATTCCACTGTTGTTGCACAGACGGTGGTGTCCATTGACTGAGTATCACTGTTTTGATTTGATGAGATTTGTTTTGTTTTGTTTTGTTTGTGAGTGAGTGAGTGAGTGAGTGAGTGAGTGATATGTGCGTTGTTGCGAGTATGTTTTGTGTCTGTGTGAGTGATTGTGTGTTGTTGTTTGCTTATTGTATGTGATAGAGTATGGAGTGAGTTAGTGTGGGCTGTAGGATTGATGGTTTTTTCACAGTGTGGGATGTGTGTTGCTGGTGTTAGTAGATATTTGATGATGTGGTGTGGTGTGGTGTGTGTTGGCGATGATGATGAATGTCGGTGTTGTTTGTGCCTTGGAGTAATTTTGGTGGTATGGAGTGATAGATAGAGATGTTGGTGGTGACGTATGAGTAGATTGTGATTGTGTATGTTATGGATCTAGAATTTGGTTGAGTGGGATAGTTTGTTGTGATGTTTGTCCATCCAGACGTCCATAGTGTCAGCGATTGATCTATGGTATTCGCGTATGGACTATAGTGATTGGCGTCGAAGTAAATGGTTTGACACCGAAGAAGACAGTGAGTGAGTGAGTGTGTGTGTTTGTGTGTAGGGGTGTGTAGTTTTTGTTGGATGTATTTTGTCATTGTGTGGTGATGTCCATGATCTAATGCCCACAATGACTGTTTTGTGGGATTCGCTGATGGACTAGATGAATGAGATAGATGACCGTTGAAGCGACTGGCGTTTCGCATTGTGGATACGGTACATATGGTAATTTTGGTATAGTGTAGTGTGTGTGTGTGTTGTTTTTGGTTTTGGTTTTGGATTGTAGTTGTGTGCGTGTATGTGTGGGTGTAGTGATGATGTGCGTCGAAGTGTTTGTAGGTAGGTGACTTTTGTTGGGAGTTGATGAGGTTGCCTATTGTGTGTTTAATAGCGCTTTGTCTTGTGTGAGGATATGCAGGGTTATGCATGTGGTGTAAGGGGGGTACGTGTTGGAGATGTGAACGAACCATTCAGTGGATATACGCGAATATGTGTGTATATGTTGAGAGTATTGGTTTTGTGTGTGTGTGTGTGTGTGTGTGTGATGAGTTTTGTGGAGTAGAGATGGATGTAGAGTTGTAACTGTTGTTTCTGGTTGGTAGTGAGCACACCCCGGAGGTCGAGATGATCGTTTGTCTCTGTCTAAACTGGGTAGTGCAAGATTGAGTATTCCACTGTTGTTGCACAGACGGTGGTGTCCATTGACTGAGTATCACTGTTTTGATTTGATGAGATTTGTTTTGTTTTGTTTTGTTTGTGAGTGA